TTATTTTTTATCTTTAATATCTTACACATTTATATCTATCAAAATCATCACAAGTAGTAAACATATAAACTCCCATGAGGGATAGAGGTTTGCTATGGGGGAAAATATTCCTCAAATCTATTGGTGGGGAAAAATACATTTCTTAATAAGATGAATCATGCTTGTATTTTTTTCTTACGTTTTGGTCTAAAAAAAGATGTTTACTACAAGTATCATCTACAAAGAGTTCAACTAAAGCATTGTATTGCTCATCAGAACGACAGATAACGAATGTTTAGATTTTTATATAGTTTTTACATCTTTCAAGGCTAAAACCAGATAATTCATATGATGTAATAACCTATCTGACTGACCCAGAAACTGCTTTGTGGGAGAGTCAACAGAATAGGGGAAATGTTGATAAACAGTAAGTTGACTTCGGAAAATATCCACGGTACCCTGGCGTATAGAAATCAGACCAAATTTCTCTGTCTGGCGGTAGGACTCCCCCATTATCGAAGGGGTCGTCCGTTTGGCTTCGTGAGATGTATAAATACTGAACCCCATCCAGTTAGGATGTGGAAAGTAAATTTTATGTCTTGTGTAGCGTCACCTCCGTCTGCACGTTAAAAAATCCTTTCAACAACTATTTCAGTGATCTGAAGTTGACCCATCGCAAGGCAAATTGTACCCCTATCCAAAATGTCATGTACCTGTCTAAATATCCCACTCTTCAATCCTGTCGATGCACTTTTCATAGCCTATTTATTAGAATTATTTGTTAATTTGTTCAGACAATCTTTATGAAATAGTTCCCACTGGGTGTTAAGAAAACAACAATCAATTCAGTGTTGGATCCAGGAGGGTCCGGGGGTTGGAATCCCCCTTTGATTTTACGATCAATACTTTTGAATGGGGACATATGGTTGGACCCCCCCCCCCCCCCCCCCTTTTTAACCTGGGTTGGAACTCCCCTTTAAAAATGGCTGGATCCGCCCCTGCAATTATTGAATTAAAGAATATTCAGAGTACCACAACTTATGAACATGGATTATTGAATTATCAAATACATGTTTGATTGTTAAATAAGAACAAACTTAGGCATTATTGATATGAATTTACAAATTCAATTTGTTTCCCTCTCAAAATATATTACAAACAAAATCCTCCATGCAGAGTATGCCTCATTTTCATTGATGTTAAGGTTGACAACCCCTTCTGTAACCTGTGTATTACGAAATTTTCAAAGTGCAACAATCTCAAAACGGTAAAAATACGGAAAAAAAGTGACGGGCCATTTTGTAGATATACCAAAGGAAAACGTTGTTCAAAGCAATACTGTTAAATAAATTTATTGCATTTAATAGGAAATGGGCAATTTGGTGGCAAATAAAGCCAGGATTTTTGCAAAAAACCCATGTAAATACTTTATTACAGAGATTTCGTTATAAAATTGTAAACATAGATTTCTAACTCGGTTGTTCAAGATGTGTTAGCGTTTATTGTCTACAAAATGTCCTAAACAACCTTTACAATCCAAAAAACTTCATGCTGAGTCACTAAAGTCGAGCGCACCCTAGAAGGTGTACATGAATATGTCCATTTTTATTCTTGTTTCAACCAATATCTTTATTTATATACTTTTTTAGGGAAACCATTGCTACCACTGCATTCAATAATCCTCTATCTTTTGAGCACCGAGTTGTCAAATATAGGAGTACAAGGGGAAAGCTGCAGATTTTTATAGAATTTCCATATGTTTAGCATTGAAACAACAAAAGGGTACATTATCCTTAATGGGTATGTCTCGGATGGTTTACTGTCCTGATTATGCATTGAATTTGGCGCTAGATGTTTATTAGAACTTTCAAATATATTTAATGCATCCCCTTTATGATAAATATTTTTCAGGATTAGTGATTATTATATCAATTGGATTATCGTTTAAGATTTATCAACCCTTCTGTAGGCCTGTGTATTACGCAATTTTCAAGGTGCCATAATAAAGAAACTGCAAGAGTACTGAATAAAAGAGAAGTGCCATTTTGTACATTTTCATGTAACAAAGGAAAACGTCGGTCATAGAAGTTATACTTATTGTCTTATTGCATTCAATAGCAAATGTGATTACTCTCTAGTTTATCCATGATGCGCTTGGTTTATTGTTTACAAAAAGTCCTAAACAACATTTCAAATCCCAAAAACCTCGTGTTGAGTCACTAAAGTCGAGCGCACCCTAAAAGGTGTACTTGATTGGTTCATATCTGCACATGTACTTGTTTTAATTAATATTTAAAAACTTGTTTTCGGGAAATCATTGCAAGCACTGCATGCATGCAATAATCCCCTATCTACTAAGTATAGAATTTTTATAAAATTTCCATATGTTTAACATCGAAATAACAAAAGTGTACATAATCCTTAAGAGGCCCACGTCAATTTAAACGTTTTGAATTTACATTGAGTTCGGTATTTTTGTTAATAATTTTTTAATTGTTCGTTATTATGATCCTCCTTTTTTAAACGGTTAACTCTAATAATTCTAACGGACGCAGGTTTACTTTTTTTACGGCAGTGTAAAGGAGACAAAGTAATAGAAGATGTTCAAATGAATAGAATTTTACACATTTCGTTGCATGTAAAAGCTGAAATAACGGACAATTGCAATGAGGTCATATGTGGGTATTTTTCGACCATAATCTACATAAGTTGATCATGGGCATATATAAATTATATGTCTTAAATTCAATTTATATATTTCTGTTGAAATTTAAATTGTCAAAAGGGTAGTGTACTGTACAGGTCGTAATATCAAGTACATTCTCTCCATATGCGTTCAATGAATAGAAGATGCCGAACCATGCAATACTTGAATAGTTGTGCTCTTATTGTTATAAAGAAAACCAACCAAACATTTCTCGGTTTGAACTTTCAGTGCAATAAATACAATAGATACTTTTCCGTTTAGTAACATTACTTTAAAGCAATAGTTTTAATGTATGCATCTACCAGTTTACTCTCGTCATCCTTAACTCTTATCTCGAAATTCTTGTTATATCAAAGTAAAATATCTGCCCACAGTCATATATTTTTATTATACGACCGAACATTTTTTTGCGTTTGTATTATGTTATGACGATGTCTGCGTCGTCGTCCGGAGACATTTTGGTTCGCAGACAATGACTTGAGTATAAGTGCATGGAACTCTATGAAACTTTAGCACAAGGTTCCATACCACAATAGGAAGGTTGGGATTGATCTGGGGGTTATTGTCGTAGTTGTTAGTAATTAGGGGCTAAGAGCAAACATTTTTCTTGTTTTAGAGCAATAACTTGTGTATAAGTGTATGGATCTCTATGAAATTGCACCACAAGGTTCCATACATAAAAAGCCCGGTTGGGATTGATATGCTTAGATCACATTCATTCTGTGTCCGAAGTTATGCTATGTCAAATAAGTAATCACAATCTAAATTCGAACTGTATTGCAAAATTAATATAAATTGTAAGTAGAGTCATACTTAAAAATAGATATTGCATCAAAACTAATTGCAGATAAGAAATTATGTATAGATATAGTTTGAAATTTAGTCTTCATCATTAGATATTTTGCATATAATTAAAGGTAAGTTTTATAGATTTTTTTAAAGACTTTGTATTCAATCTTGCGTATAAACCCTTCAGAATGAAAGTTTCATATCTTCTTTCAATTATAAAATGGCTAAGTGGAGCTGTAAATATGTCATCTCATGCTGATTAATGGACAGATAATATTACTTAACAAACAGATGTTTAAAACAAAAGACAGGAACAATGAAGTTAATTAAAATTTTGTTTATTTTAACAATTTTATAAGTAATCATGGAAATTAAATATTAAAATGAATGAAGGAAAGTTTGTGATATATCGATGTATTATTTCCCTGCACATTAGCTAATGTGTGTTTTGTTTGATGATTTTTTAAGGCATTAAAGGTTATCATACAAACAAAAGTCTTTTCGTCCTCTACTGGTCTTATAATAGATAGCACAGTGCAGTCAACACAATCAATTACATTCAGCATCACGTGCATACTGTGAAAATCTTATTTAATTACTCTCATCGCTGCTTTGACTTTGAAGAAATTTATTTTGGTCCGGAGAGTGATGCAAAATTGACTCTATTACGGAGGATATTTAACGACTGACCGATAACTAGCTTATACCATGAATATCTCCTATCTCGAACACGAAGCCCCCTTTGCATAATACATAAGGTTGTCGATCAATTCTTGGCCGAAAGGAGGTTTTGCGAAATTTCTCAAAGTTGCCCTTTCAAATGTGTTAAAGTTTATCTGCAGACTCAAATATGGCCTGTCTATCAAGACGGTAGCTAGATATGATATGTTTCATTTGAGTTGTCCATGATATAAATCCTTTTCTGGAAACCCTTTCTTGTCTAAAGGCTTGTCGGTTGATTCTTATAAAATGCAAGGCGACGGCCATCTTTGATGTAACGATCGCTTTCCAACAGGTTTAACTACACGCAAATAGCGTTCACAATTCACACGCAATGTACAACCATCGCAAAGTATGATTGTTTTATGAAACGGATGTTTAGCATAACGTTTGGTTAACGAGCAAAACGTAATCTAACTATTGTTTTATGAAACGACAGCCTGTTTTAAAGCAGCCTAAAATGAAAGAGTGAATCTTCGGTGGCGACACAATTCCAAACGAGATTAGAAAATTTTAAAACTCTGCCATTAATACCGAAGTCTGCAAACAATACTACAAACAAAGACATCTTCATGTAAATATAACATATGTAATTACTGTCAAATTTCCTATCAACCGGCAGTTGCGTAGAAATATGTGTATGTTGCAGATATTTGCTTGTTTTTTTATCTACCCACAAATGTTGCACCCTGTATCGGATTGATTGAGACGCGTTAATGCAAACACAAATAATGAGAATGAACTAAATCATGTTGATGTTTGGTTGTTTACCGTGCACCCATATCTTTTTATTTTATTTCATTAGCGTTTTTATTCAAATATTGTTTCCAAGACAAACCATGCGATGTACCAGAAGATACTTCAACAGAATGTGAAACATCTCAAAGATTACAGAATCAGCCTAACAATCAAACTATTGAAGTTAATTTTGATGGAGTGACAATTCATGTTTCCTAAGAATATGTGGACGACCCTACGTTTGAAATGTTTGAAGGCATTGTTCAGTATGACATGGAATCTAGTATTCGAATTAAAGTAAGGTTCGAAAAATAAAGTAGGCTTTTCATAACAGAAAAGCTTTACAATTTGTTTTCATTACCATATCGCATTTTACTTCAGCGAACATTTAAGACGATGAGACATAACTAAAATTTACTACTAAGCTATCACTGTTTATCTAATTCAAAACTGACAGTTTGATACAAGTATTTGAAATCATAGCAATATTGTCATAAAAGACAATGTCATTTGCCTAGTTTGATAATTAAATAGTAGCAAGTAAATATTATAGTTAAAGTTGTTCCTTTAATAATAAAACATTTAAGAAAAAAAAAATCTTTAAAAGGACAATAAGTATAAATATTTTCAAATAACTGAAGACTCATGACTTGGTTGCTGTGTGCCATTTTTGTTTTTCGTTTGATGTTTTGTCATAAATGAGGTGTAAACTTCCCACTAACACCATACACCATTACACCATTCACCATACACCATTCACCATACACCATTACACCATACACCCTGTGCCATTACACCATTCACGTTACACCTTTGCACCATACACCTTACACATTACACCATAATTCAATTTAATTTCAAAGAAAGCGTGCGAATACAAAATTATTTATTTATTTTAAAAAACGAATTTTGATCACAATATTGTAAATTAATGTATAAAATTAAAAAGCAGTTCTTATCAATATTTTGAATAGTTTTAAATGTCGTACACCATTCCCGATCGCACGTTACACCATTACAACATTCCCCTTACACCATACATCATAGCACCATACACCTTCTACCATTGCACCATATGCAATACACCATTACACAATACACGTTTTTTTGGGAAGTTTACACCATCCAATGGCTGTACTTGTTTAAATTGTTTTACATTTTCTTATGCCTTTCATAGCTTACAATACAGTATTGATTTGATCATCGGTCAAGTTCGTACAATGACCTTTAGTTGCTTACATCCACGCTATTTGGACCGTGGTGTATTGTTGTCATTGACAATCATACAACAGCTCCTTATGTCAATATTATTAAACAAAAAAACCAAAACTAACGGAAAAAAAACTATTGCATAGTTTACCAACTTACAAGAACATAAATTCATTTTATATAAGTTTTGTCATTTCTTACAACAAAAGTTACTTACCAGGCATATCAAATATGATATGAAATACAAATACAAATACAAATACAAGTGTAATATTTACGAATTATTTTCATAGGGAAGAAATATATTAAATGTGGCACGCTATCACGATTATCATATAAATATTGGATTGGACGGAACGTGTCTCATATCGGATATAAGTATGGAACTCATAAATTGCATACCACCAAAATCAGTACCTCGGACAAATAAAACTGATGTTACAACAGTTCATGTTATTGTAAGTAACTTATATTAATGTTTCTTTAGATGACAATAAAATTAAGATGTGGAAAGTTTAAATCAAAACAATAGTATGTGTAAATAAACTCATCATAGATACCAGGATTAAAATTTTGTATTTGCGCCAGACGCGCGATTCGTCTACAAAAGACTCATCTGTGACGCTCGATTCCAAAAAAGTTAAAAAGGCCAAATAAAGTACGAATTTGAAGAGAATTGAGAACCAAAAATTCCTAGTGTTGCCAAATACATGAATGATCTTCTTTACAATATTTGCTACATGTTTATACACAATAGTTATCAAATGAAGGCTAGGGCATGACAAAACGAAAAAAACAACATTATTATTTACAACATAATAAACGAAAAACATATCTAACAGACAGCAACCAACGACAACCGATGAAATACAGACTCTCGACTTGGAACAGGCACACACATAATGTGGCGGGGATAAACATTATTGTGATTGCTCAATCATCCCCTGAACTGGGATAACGGTGTAACATAACAACAAATGAACAAACTTTAAAAATCAGTTGGAAAAAACTCAAAACCCGTTTTAATTAACAGATAGATCATGTTTTCCCAGGTTGAAATATAAATCAAGTCGAATGCATATCCAACTCCCTTCACTTAGAAATAATCACCGATTCCGGGAAGAGTTTTTCATCCCAGTGGGTTGTTACCATTGTAACTCGAACAGCGGTTTAATTGTAGACCTTGGACTACATTCATAAAATACCAAAATCGACCGTAAAACTCCCGTAATATAGATATACCTACGTCATCAATACATTAGCATAATATGGAAATTTAACAATTACTTGGGCAGCGACAAGGAACATCATCTTGACAGCAAAATTATTTTTGCTATAGAAAAGAGCAAACATGACATACTTGAGTATTGTTATCATACGCTTTTGAGTATCCATGTCCTAACCTAACAATTATAAAAGGAAACTGCTAATTAACTATCTCAAACATAGCAGAAGCGTTTATCGTTTTTCAATGACAATGATACATAGTTGTATTGATAGATCGCTTTTGAATATTTCTGTCAAACAGACATGAGAGTTAGAAACACATTATTTTCAAAATACTGTGCAAATGATTCATCTCGGAATAAAGAATGTATTTACACGAATTTCTTAGCCTTTATTATATTAAATATTCCTAAAAAATGTTGTGTTATGCTAGCGTTAAGATTACATGAAAAAATATTGCAACGCTGTTCATTTCTTAAAACTAGGTGAACGTTATTAGAATACATAGATATATTGGTGACATACAGTACATAACAAAAAAAAATACAGTTCACATTATAGTCCTCAACGAATTCCTGTACATGTTGTCACTGTTTATAATTGAGAAAGATTAAATTAGAAAACTAAAACCAAATGGGAACTTGCATACACATTATCTTAAGCCATGTAATACATTTGTTTTTTGGTAATGTCAAAACCATCAACGTAAGAAATCCAATTCAAGGGTAGGAAATATATTTATTCCTTCTCCAGGTATTGACGTTATTCTCGCAAAATGCACTTATATGATAATTTGTCACAAGGCTTCATTAATTAGTCAATATAACATGATAAAGCATATCTTTATTGTTAGCTTTGAAAAAATCTAAAAACAGATATTCAATTAGAAGATGGAGTTTAGACTAAAAATTCTTTTGATTTTACTTTTTAAAACTTGGGTTTTTAAAATATACAGGAGCCCTGAATATACGCGAACCTGTGCTCCTAAAATTGATTTTAACTCATCAAAAAATACAAGACTTATAGCCTGGTCCACCAGATGCGCGTCTGCACATGACTTATCAGTGGCATTCAAATCAAACATTTTTTATTTTATTGAAAATCAAACTAAGACATGTTAGATACAAGTATTGATAATCAGTTTGATACAGTAATTGAATTATCTTACCAAGTCCAAGACCTGTGTTGTTGCATGCAATTGATTGAGGTATCATGTATACTGAAACATAAATGTCATTCTTTTCACTAAAGCAAAGACAATTGTGACGAACATTTTCTTTGTACAATGAGTGTTGTAGAATTTCAAACTATCGGTAAACAGAAAGTGACTTCACGGCATATGTAAAAAAAAAAGCTTACACTCTTTAACTCAACAATACCAAGAATTTTTTTAATAATCTAATTTGGAAAAAAGGCAGCATCCTACAAATTGTCAATCAACTTACTGTGGATTAATTTCTTTTCATGGATTCCAATTTTCGTGGATCGAAAACAAAATTTTTGTTGATATTTGAATTTGTTGTTTTGCAAACGTCTAAATACAAGCCTTCAGAAAATGTATACTTCTTAGAATATTGAAATTACAGGTGTACCTATACCTTAGAAATCCATGAAAGTTGGTATCATACGAATACAAATAAATTTACAGTATATATGAGAAAAGACACATGTGTCATCCAATAACAATATTATAATACGGCAATTTGGGTTGCCTCTAACATGTCTAACTTGTTCGATACTTTTAAAAAGAAGCTTATGTATGTTTCAGGTGTGTCTAAAAGGCGAAGGGACGTAAGGTAAAATATTTTGCTATTTCCACAAATTAGTTAAACCATCTAACTGGATTGTGTCATAATACATACATGACATAATTAATGATAAATTCTATAAAAAAAACTTGATGATATATTCGATGCATCTATCAACCCTTTGCAAGAGTTTTTCTACAATAGACAACACACAAGAAATGAGATTAGTTGAAGATATGGTTGTGTATTAACAACATTTCAAATGGTAATAACATGAATAACGACACCAAACAGCATATAATATGTACAAGGCAATATTTTACAAACGTATGAATATCTTAAGACAAAAATTAAAGTTGATACATGCAGTTCATTCCTTGATTGATCATTTTACATAAGTATGCGAAATTTCACATGAAAAATGTATGACAATGCATTATTTAATCACAGGGTTTTATTTTGAAAATGCAGTCAATCTTGTAAATCATTAATTTTAGGCAACAGAGTATATTATTCAATTATTATACACAATACTGTATGAATAAATTGCAATATTGTGTATACACTTATAGCCATGCAATCAAATATAATATGAAGCAAAGAAAACAAGATACCTAGTGGCCAAATTGTAAATACAGAATTGAAAAAAAATAATAGGTTTCAAGGCGATGTAATGTTTAAAAAGCTGATTTAAGTTTATTTTTATAGATAGAACTACAAAGCAAACAAACATCAAATTGAGCATTCTTATTGTGTGTTAATTATTATTTTGCTTTACGACCTCTTGGGAATATCCTTTACATCCATTTCCAGGTACTGTAATCATACCCAAAAAAATGCTACACACTTATTATTACAATTATATCGATATCTTTGAACAACATATTTTCTAGATATGCAAATATCATTGTCATGGAAATAGTAAACATTTCGACAAGTACATGTATATTACTTTCATTCATATTGTTCATATCGATCAAAATATCTCAGAGTAGTAAAGAATAGATATATCAAATCTCATTATCATTATTATTATCACCATAATGGTATGAAGAAAGGAAAACTGAAAACAGGCCTGAGATAAAAAGTCGTTGTTCATGAAATAAGACATTTTGATTCCTTTCAATTATAATATAGGTACCAAAGACATGGACAACAATCACACTCCAGAATTATTTTTTTTTTTTATAAATTCTGGGTGGACACATGTCATTGATATGAATAATTAATTCATATAACTAAGGTAGAATGTGTATTCTAACCATTTAAGGTTACTATTATACAGCGTTCCGTTGTGCCTTAATACTGTTAGATATTAAACTTAAGATTCATATCAAACAGGAACAGTATACAATAAGAGAGAGATTTATTCTCTAAAGAATAACTAAAGATTTGACTGTATCCTTTAAAGGTAATACGTACTGTCATAAACAATCTGTGTGGGGCTATGTTGATATGCTTTCAGTGAATCGATAAATACGTATTGACAGATATGAAAAGGCTTTTTTTTCATTATTTCATCATACTTTTCAAAATCTGTAAGTTATTTCAATTCAAATTTTAAACTCTTTGGTCATTTCATATAATACAAAAAAAACTGAAAAAAAAGATTAAGCACATAAGCTTCTGTTTCCAATTTTTTGTGTTAATGCTGTTAACCACAGTGCACAATTTTGATCTGGTTTACCTAATTTCTATTTTAACCTCCAATCACATCCTAGTTATTTTAAAATTTAATTTATAATCAATTTTGAAATAGATAAAAACAAGTGTTATCATGATGAATTTTCGATATATGTCTTTTTAAACGACACTAAGTATTTCTCAACATTTTTATACTGTGATTGTATACTAATGCAGATTATAACTGGTGTTGATAATATTTCTAAACATCAAATGTTTTATTTTTTGTTATATTTCTTAAGTTAAAGAATTGTCATAATCATAATTATACAATTATAAGGAATATATCTATAATGATTACAACGAACTTTCGAGAATACCAATTTATTTGTGTTGTTTTTGTCACCGCATGTGATATTTCTTTATGTTTGTTGTTGTTATTCATGGTTTTCTATGTTATACGTGTGTCATATTCATTACCATGTCATAGTGACGATGACGGATGACAAATCTAAGTCAAACACACTACTGTTTTACCTGCATGCTTTCTAGTTACCGCCTACAAATCCCTTCTTCCCTGTAATATCTTTTCATACCTGTATTCTGTATTCAGGCGTTGCAACCTACGAATGGCTTGCGCCATTTGCTATATATTTTCAGGTCGTTTTTTCTATTTCTTAGTTTTAAGATCCGGTTTTGATATTTTCGTTTATGACTGTTTTATTTCTTTGGATACTATTGTTCAGTGGTATATATTTGTAACAACTATTGTATTTAATTTACAATATACAGATTAGTGGGCACTTACGAATTAATAAAACGAAAATTTATAATATTTCGAAACCCGCGGGTTGACTGTGAAAGGATGGTGGAACTATGTGATTTATGAGACACCACCTGACCAAGTTTTAGATTTAATATAATTTCCAATTGGATCTTAACTTTTGCTTATTTTTTTTTATCAATAAATACAAGATAATATCATGTTGTATTGTTTCTTTTCAACTTTGATCACACTTTTAGATAATACAGATATAAAATTGTGCTGGAGGCGAATGCATATTTTGTTAAATGCTTCACAGAATGTACATTTTTTTTATGTTAAAAATATAAAATTAATGTGAAAAATGAAAGATCATCTTTATTTCCTAAGAACTCCAACATATTGTTCATCTCTTAATTAAAACACCCTTCTTTGAATATATATATCTTGTACAAAATAATAGAATTTCGCAAAACGTGTAATGTTGACAGTTCTTCAGCATAGTGTTGTTAGTGAAAAGAAAAATCTATATCTTAAAAGTTCAATTCATCTTTTAAAAGAAAAAAAAGTACGCGTTCACAGGACACATTTTAGATTTTCGAGTTTCTTTAAAAGATACACAATACGCATAAGCATAGTATAAATACCAAATCGAACCTAGAACAACAATTATGACTATAAACGCATAAAAACACACATATTAATTTCTATAATTATTATTATTAATTATTATTATCATTATCTTTTGTCAGGGTTGAAGATGGAGATGAATATACTGAGCCTGATGAGTCAATATATGATGAAATAAATGCAGATGAGGAAAACAATACACGTGAAAACAGTTATCTTTACGTATATGACGGATTCGATGAACTTGGACAACGATCACCAACACATCCATATAATCAGCTTCAAATAACAAGGGATGAAAATCAAAAACCGATCATGATCAATAGTGAAATACACACAGATGACAAATTGCAAAGAAATAAACTTAGAAATGAGTATCTAAGCTTGTCTAGCGGATACGAAAAACCAATATGGCGAAACGATTCACATTATCAATTTGATCAGGAAAGTGCGGACAAAAAAAATGAAATAACAAATCTTGATAACCATTTAAGGGATTCATCTTTCCAGTGATTAGATAAATATAAAGAAGTAAGAGGAATCAATTTGAATGCCAGATAAATCAGTTGTTTACATTATGTCTGTACATGTACATATCATTCCATGTAAACTTTTCTATTCTGTATATCTAAATACTATTGTGTCTTACCAAAATCAATATGCACACGAATTTGAATTTTATAAAACCTATATTACTTAAATGATCAGGTATTAATAAAGAATTATAGAGTGCACACTGGTTAATAATGTTTCATGTGTTGTAATGGATGTGCTTTCAAACCTCTGGGTTTCTTACTTAAAAGATGCAGGATATTCCATACACATGAAATATGTGTAAAGCTCACACATTTATTATCTTACGGCTTACTTTATCTCAATTATTATTATTCAATCGCATCATAGATTCAATGCAGCATTTTTAATTTTTTGAAATAATCACTTCCATCTTCTTTTTTTACTGTTAAAGCCTTATGAAAAACCATGTATTGTAAGCCCCTCCAGACAGCAGCATACAATCTTAATTTCTCATACGAGAACTTTTTATTAAATGCTGTAATCCTTCCCTTTTCCTTTCCCAGAGTTTACAATAAGTCATAATTTTTTACACATTATTGTCATTAATAAATTTGTTTACCGATATCCTTTGGTATCTGGACGATTTGACAAACTCATATTTGAACGGAAATCTTGCTTTATAAAACGTATCTCATCAGCAGCTTATTCGTTGGTTATTGCAAAAGATACAGGAGTTTTATTCTTTGCAAAATGTATTTCTCCACACTCTCTGGCCCATATGAAGCAAGATATGATATGCAAACACTCTTTTTCATTCCAATCTCTCAATGTTGGTAATAGTTCCCCGAACAAGGTGAATACATGAAATTTGTCGGGATATTGTTCGAAATCAGAAGCTTATGACCTTGTTTTGGTCGATAAATTGATGATTTGATTTTTGTTCAGAACAAAAGAAAAAAACTGAAACTATTGAATATTTGTTTTCTCCTTTTTTTTCTTATATTACTTCAGTATTTTGTGTATATAACAACTACAATCAAAATTGTGATAGACATAAGCAGCCAGAACATTGGAATGCAATAAGTTATGCAACATTTCTCATGAAATGTTTTGACACAATTCCTCGATAGAAAAGAATTTGCTTTGTTTTGAATACTTCATTTTTCACTATGCATTCCAATTCCTGAATATCTACAATGATAGAGATTCCTCATTATATCTGCGATTATATCTTCTATGTTTAGTTTTATTGATATCTTAATGGTTAATTGAATTAATATATATTTCAAAATTAAATATGTTTTCCACCAAAGGAATGTGATAAGAACGACGATATTAAAAAAGTGTAGTATACAACTCAGTTTACCGATAAATTTTCCACCAAATGAATTCATCATACGAAAGCCCACTACCCATTTTATCGAAATGCTTTCTTAGCTCACTTGATTCAAATGGTCAGGTGAGCTATTCTCGTCACTTTGCGAGCTTCGTCCGTTTTCGTCAGTGTCAACGTCCAAAAAAAAGGTCAATAAACGCTATAAACATGTCAAGGACCTTTAGACGGTTTGGTATGGTTTCTTACAATCGAAAATAAAGTACATCAACGAAATTACGATAATTTGGGTTAATAGATAACAATAAAATCAATACGTCATATTTAATTTTACAAGTATTATATCCATAGTGAAAACGGTTTGATTCTGCAACATAATAAAAGAAAGAGATATAAGAATAATCAAAAGATAAAAATTTGTTATTGTTCAAGTCACAACATGAACAAATCATAAAAAAAATTCTTTAAATGTTAAGCTTATTTATCTATAAATGTTTAAGAAATTTGTTGAATGCCTGTCAACTAGAAAATCATTTACTTATTATAATAACATATTTGAAAAAATAAAGTGATATGCTATTTCTATATTCAACTTGAAAGTTCCATGTGTTTCAAGTTCTCCGAATGTGATTTGGTCTTTTTCTTAGAAACGCAAAAATTGAACATCGAGATACAATAAATTATATTTATATGTGTGTTTAACAGGTGTGGTATGACAGTAATAATTTGTTAGACGCCAGTGTTTTTATAGTAATATCATGTATATGTATGTTATCATGAAGTCTGTTTCTAGCTTAATTCGTATAAATTTAAATAAGTTTGATGTAAGTTGTAAAAAATACATTTCAATGATCATTATCAATCTAACGGTCTCATAAACCGGAAAAGTTTGCGGGAGCATTTAATCTTTGCCGTGTCTGTCCAACTCTCGGTACACACATTTTTTATCTGACGATCTTGCGTTTTCTATATTTGATCAAAACGATCAATGGTTTAAAGTAAAACCAATTAATATGATCACGGTTGCTGTTCTTGAAACTTGTTTTATGGAAAAAGTGTTTTTTTCTTGATTTTCACGTCTTTAGTCCAAAAATTAAACTCATTATGATGAAATATACATATAAGATAAAGGATCTCATAGATTTCAAGTTTGTTTTAATTTCATTGCGGCAGCTGCTAAATATAGGCATTTGATTTGCATTTTTTTAGTTTCTGGATGATTAATGTGGGTACACATTTTTTAATACAATGTCACTTGGTATGAATGTGCGATTTGGGACCCGGGAGACGTGCTACTTTTGTACTTGTTTTATTACGGGGATGTTTTTTTCCGAGGTATTTCATAAAATGAAGTTATATTAAGTCGATAGTATTAATGAGCGTGAGTTACTTGCTAGGATTTTCATGTCATGTTCGTAGTTCTACATGACCTCATCTTTGATACAATGAGAATCGGAAAAAAAATTTTTAAATCAATGAATCTAAAATTTTAATATTGTATGATACATGTTGCTGGGTTGTAATGGGTAAAATAGGTGCGGTGTATATCATTATCGCTCAAAATCATTGCACGCCCTAAAAAAAATCAAATGAGCTCCGTTTTTATTGTTATTCTTTATTTCAATGTTACAGTGAGAATTATAACATGTAACAAAAATCTAACTGAACTACTACATGATTAATACGAATAACAGCACCTGTTAAAGCGGTCATTTTTGCTAGAAGTCGATCGCGTTAACACTGACGTTGCGCACGATGTTGGTACGAGTTCCAATTTGATATAGATTATCATAAAATTATGTGCGTAAACTGAGCAGCTCGATAAAAATATAGTGATTTTTAGATGAAATTTAGTTTAATAGGCTTGAAAATTATGAAAAATCGGAACCGGAATTTAAAATACCAAAAATTATTTCATTAAATTAACCCATCTTTACGCAAAAAAGTAATGTCCAACGTTACATTTTATGTACAAAAGATCAGAGTTCTGTGTCTTTCTTCTACATGAAATACCTTCATATACCTCTGTCAATCGGGAGATGAGACGCTCAATCAATTGTTATGATATTTATCAAAACCTTAAAACAATATCTAAGTTGAATACGGATTTGACAAATAAGTGAAGAATAATCTAGCATAATTCAACATTGAAAAAATTTACTCTAGTAAAGCGTTATTTATAAGATCATTTCCAATGGAATCTCAAAACGAGTTTATATTCTAAATATGTGTATATATATTCATGATATAAACAAGTCTAAATTGAAAACAACGTTCAAACCTATGATTGCGTTGGATAAAAACCGCAATTTTTATACGTGTGCATGTAAAACAAATTTCTTGGTAGAGGGGTCTAAATACAGCACAAACAACATTTTCCGAAAGACCAAAAAAGTGAAAAGTATATTTTAACAAAACGCATTTGACTAACAGATCGAACAACTGATGATCTTAAACCCTGCTGTCTGCCATAGACGATTGCCAAATAAATTGATTACGAGATGTAACATGGATCTTAATTAATAATTTAATACCAAACAGAAAACAATAAACTTGCGGAGAAGATGGTATACCGCAAACATGAGGTGCAAAAATTCATGATATATATATATCTAGTATAAACAAGTCTAAATTGAAAACAACGTTCAAACCTATTAATGCGTTGGATAAAAACCGCAATTTTTATACGTGTGCATGCAAAACAAATTTCTTGTTAGAGGGGTCTAAATGCAGCACAAACAACATTTTCCAAAAGACCAAAAAAAGTGAAAAAGTATATTTTAACAAAACGCATTTGACTAACAGGTCGAACAACAAATGTTCTTAAACCCTGCTGACTGCCATTGGCGATTGCCAAATAAACGGATCACCGATGTAATAAATGGATCTTAATTATAAATTTAATACTAAACAGAAAACCATTAACTTGCGGAAAAGATGGTATACCGCAAACAAAAGGTGCAAAGGTTTTTGTACACCATATCCGGATTTCGACAATTAATGTCTCTTCAGTGATGTTAGGAATCAAAACGGTATTTGGAAAGCCATACAATTTACCTCAATTTAGGATAGACTCTTGAATTTTGAGGAGTCAAAATAGGATGAACGGATCATATAAACCCGAAGGCAAATATAATACAAGCCCAAACGAAAAAATATAAACAAGTCTAAATTGAAAACAACGTTCAAACCTATTAATGCGTTGGATAAAAACCGCAATTTTTATACGTGTGCATGCAAAACAAATTTCTTGTTAGAGGGGTCTTAATATAGCACAAACAACATTTTCCAAAAGACCAAAAAAAGTGAAAAGGTATATTTTAACAAAACGCATTTGACTAACAGGTCGAACAACAAATGTTCTTAAACACTCCTGACTATCTAGTATATCTATATTATTAAGTTCGTTACTGGGAATTACAGATAATAGGTTAATTAGTACTCTTTCAATTGTAGACTTATTATAAGTAATTAGTTTATACATGTTATAGTACACAATCGAGAACACGCAATTTGATATTTGCTATTTCAAATATAACGCAACTAAACGATCAAATTTTTAGAAATGTTATTATTAACAGAAAATACATGATAGTTTTCCGATCTTTATAACAAAACAAAATGCATGTAAATAAGACAATTGATAATCTCAGTATTTCTAGCAATTCAACAGCTGTTTTCTAAACATTAATTAAAATTGATACCTTTAATATTTTTTAGATAAGTTATGTATTGTTATTTGTTATAATACTAACAAACATATAATGTAAAATCTCGTGGAAAATTTGATTTTTATATTATGGTGATATTTAAATAAAAAAGGGTAACTATATATATATATATATTTTTAATACAAATTTTGATTTTGGTTTATTGCTGTGTTGGTTGATTGCTTGATAAAATGTTTGCAGACTATCAAGTGACAAATTCTTCATATTGGTTTGTTGGTTGGTCGATAGGAGTGTTAGTTGATTGATTGGTGGAATGATTCATTGATTGGTTTATTGACAGTTCGCATAACGTAAAGAGATACCTATTTCTTATTGACTAATTTTATTGATAAATTGTTTGTTTGAGTTCCACTGACGAATATTCAACTAAAATATTTTACTCAGAAAAACAGGTAAAATGATCCCCTTCTACAAAAGAGAGACCGTACTGGGATCAGTTTCATAATAGAAAACACTGGGACGATTTTCTAGGAAAAACTGAAAAAGAAAATGCGAAGGAATTTTTCATTTTCACATACTAGACAATAAAACAACAATTACAAGTGATAAGATCCATTTCCGATTTTAAATAACAACGAAAACAAAATACACACACAACAAATAGATGAAATATAATGTCGAAGATTTCTAGAAAAACAGAAAATAAATAAAATGAAATCAAGAATGAATACTTGCTTTTTCCCATTTACATCTATAAAGAAAAATGCAAGGATATCTTTTGGTAGAGAAATAAACT